ATAAAACCACCAAAAACTAGAGAATTAAATCTTTTAAAAGAATCATCAATAACCCAAATTAATATAAAGAAAAAATACATAAATATGATAAATAAAGAAATAAAATTTAAGAAGATAGAAGAACAGATTAATAGTCCAAACATTCAAAAAACCATAAAAACCTATGTAGAAAAATAGAAAAAGAAATTTGTGAGATAAACCCAACAACTTTTTGGCATAGAAAAAAATATACAATAGAATTACCTTATATAGATAATTTTGATGAAAAACAAATACCCACAAAAGCAAGACCAATACAAATGAATAATCAATATTTGAAATATTGTAAAAAAGAAATGCAAGAATATCTAGATAAAAGATTAATTAGACCTTAAAAATCACCCTGGAGTTGTCCAGAGTTTTATGTTATGAAAGCTTGTAAAGTAGAAAAGGAAGCTCCTAGGTTAGTAATCAATTATAAACCTTTAAATAAAGTGTTAAAATGGATATGATATCCTTTACCAAATAAGAATGATTTAATAAAAAGAGTACATGATGCATTGATATTCTCTAAATTTGATTTAAAGTTAGGATATTATCAAATTGCAGTAAAAGAATAAGATAAATATAAAATCGCTTTTGTCGTACTCTTTGGACATTACGAATGGAATGTAATGTCACAAGGATTAAAAAATGCTCCTAGTGAATTCCAAAATATAATGAATGATATTTTTATTCCTTATATAAAATTTTCAATAGAATATTTAGATGATGTATTAATCTTTTCAAAAAATATTACAGAACACCTTAATCATCTAGAAATATTCATAAAAATAATGAAAGAAAATGGATTAGTTGTATCAGCTCGAAAAATGAAAATATTCCAAACAAAAATAAGATTTTTAGGTTATGAGATTTATCAAAATACAATAACTCCTATACAAAGATCTTTAGAATTTACAACAAAATTTCCAAATGAAATAAAAGACAAACAACAATTACAAAAATTTTTAGGATGCGTAAATTATATAGCAGATTTTATTCCAAACATTAGAATAGGATGTGCTCCATTATTTAAAAGACTTAGGAAAAACCCACCTTCGTGGAATGAAGACATGACACAAGCTATAATTAAAATTAAAGAATTAGTTTAAAAAATTCCTTGTCTAGGAATACCAAACTCATTAGCCTTTTTAATAATTGAAACAGATGCATCAGAACTAGGCTATGGGGTGTTAAAACAAAAACTTTCAGAATTTTCAAAGGAACAAGTGGTCAGGTATCATTCAGGTATCTAGCATCCTTCACAATAAACGTATTCTATAATTAAAAAGGAAATTTTTTCAATAGTTTTATGTGTTCAAAAATTTCAAGATGATGTTTTCAATAAAAAAAAATTAATTCGAACTGATTGTAAAACAATACCTAGTGTCTTAATAAAAGATGTTCAAAATTTGGTTTCAAAACATATTTTTGTTAGATGGCAATCATTATTATCATGTTTTGATTTCGATATTGAGCATATAAAAGGAAAAAATAATTTTCTTCCAAACTTCTTGTCAAGAGAATTTTTACAGGCTTCAATATGAGCACGCAGTCGTTGAGTAGAGATCAATATGGTCCCCCACTAAGATCACAAAAAGGAGCTATAACAAAATATCAATATAATCCCCCACTGGGATTACAAAAAGAAGTCACTACAATATCATTAAGGCCTCTAACGCCTCAAAAATAGTCAAAACCTTAGCAGAAATACTAAAAACTCTTCCCGTACTTCAAAAAATCCTTTGATCAGAACCTCCAATAGGTTTACTCCTCTTCGATACCAAAATATCCTTATCGGACCAAAAGACTTTATTGACAAAACCCCTCAAGAACAAATTCCAGAGGAGTATTTAGAAAAACCAGAAACTTCTCCTATACTTATTTTAAAAAAAGCCTGGATTTACGACAACACTAGAACAATAGTAAACAACCTCTTTCTAAAAGATTTCCATTATCCTCCTATAAACCCAGAAAAAACTAGAACCTTTTATGAGTTTATACTAGTAGATACTGATTCTGCAGAAATATATCATACCAGAAACAACCAAAATAGTATTCTTTTTTTCTAAAATAAAAATCTTGAAAGTATTATCTCCCGAAGAATGGAATCAACACATCCATTTCACCAATAACTTCTCTAGAACCTTTGAACCTCAGGCTTATAATTATTATGACTACATAGAAGCATGGACCAAAGCATTATTAGTACATCCAGGAACTCATTCATGGTTCATCTGGTTTAAAAGAGGGATCTCATTGAAATTTCCAAAATGGTTTATAAAGTGGTTCGCAGACTTTGGACCATTACCAACAATATTTCCAAAAAATGTTAATGATGTTTATTGTTATTTTAGAGAAAAAACTTCTTTTGATTCTGGATACAGACTTATATCATTTGTAGCTACTCAATATATTACTTGGATAGTAGCTTAGGGTTATGAAGTAGAACCAGCATATGAAAATGTAGACATCAAATATCTGTCAAGAAGATTTAAAATCAAGTGGTGGCCGAAATTCAACACAAAATTGATAACCAAGACAAATATTGATCGATGACAAGAAAATCATTGACAAAGAAGGGAAGAATCAAGCCAAGTTTTAAATCAAGAATCATTATTCTTAGCTGAGAAGCAAAGATTAATGGTTGAGCTAGTAGCAACAACTAGTATGAAAGATTTTGAGCAAATTATTAAAGAAAAGTCCACGACATCAAAAGTTGGCTCTGAGGAAGGAAGCACTCATAATAATCCATTTGACATGTTCGATTAACCGCAAGAGATAAGGATACAAAGAAAAGAAAATGTGACAAAAGAATAAGAAAAAGCTATGACAAGAAGATGCGACAAGAGAAAAAGAAAAAATTAACATAAAGAAAAGAATATGTGACAAAAGAAAAAGAAAAAGCTACGACAGGACATAAAGAAAAGCAGATATGACTAAAGAAAAGAAAAAGAAGATTTAGACAACCTTATCATGTAAGGGTATTAAGGAAAAATGCACCGTCTAAAAGAGTCTTATATGTGTATAAATAACGGCCTCGTCAAGAGAAGAAGGCAGAAGTTTTCTTTTGAATATAAGAGTTTTAAATCCTTTGTAAATCTGGAATGAAATCTTCAATTTTCTTTATCTTCTTAAGCATATTTGTAAGTCTTGGTTCTTCCTTTTCTCCCTTTTATTATAAATTTTTATGTTTTAATATATTTTAAAGCGTTTTCCAATTTCCGATTTCGATCCCTAAAAGAGTTATATATATATACTCTCATTACTTAAAACTAATGATATGTAATAATTATGGAAAATCATTCTAAAAATAATAGACCCTAATTAATTGGTACGAAATTGATTCAATTTTATTTTATAAACTTGAATTTTTATTCTGGAAAATGTCTCCATGCTAATAACTATTTTAGTTTTGAAGACATTAAATTACTAAAGCGAAACCTACTATAAGTAAATAGTTGGAATAATTATATTATATATGATTTATATTTATTATAAAATAGATATTTTACATTAACATTTTTAATTCAGTCAAAGTTGAATGGACCACTTCTTTGTTTTTTTAGAGTCCATGTCATACCATTTTTTTCTCATAAAAATTTTTAAAACAAAAAATTTCAAGAAAATTCAAAAAGGAAACTCAAATCAATTATATGACATTTTTTCAACATTGTGGTGTTGTGGTTCTGGAACACTTAGCCTCGTGCACAATATTTGAAGATGGTGGTGAATGTTCACTAGATAAAGAGTAATGAAGGGTATTGAACTTCAAGGACATAAGAAAAGGGTGTTACAATTGATATAAGTGGCGCATGCATACATATATATATATATATATATATATATATATATATATATATATATATATATATATATATATATATATATATATATATATATACTAGTGATGGGTCAAAAGAAATTTAATATATTCAATTAAATGTTTATAATTGCTTAGATTACATTTCACATTTATATTTGTAATAAATCTCAAATTATTTCTTAATTTAAAAGCAAATCTTCACTTGCAGGCAACTTCCACATCGCTATATTGCTAAAAGTTTCACATCATCTTTGTCTAGTTTTAGAATCAATTGATTCCTGTTTACTCGAATCCATCTTTAACTTTGTAATTAGACAAAATTATACCTTTATCCTTCAAGTTTAGTATACGTTTCAGTTTGTTTCTTTTAACTTTTTTTTCAAATTCAATATAGTCATAGTTAATTATTTTTTCTGTGAACATGAGTTTGTGAGTGGAACCTGAGAACCGATTAGTTTTAGTATTCTTCATTACATTTAAAAATATGTTTGCTTAAACTTTTATTGAAAAATAAAAACAGGATTTGAAAAAAAAATAGTCCTACATATTTTGATAAATTACATTGACTATTTCTTGAAACAAAAATCTAGATAAAAAAATAAATTAAATTTAATCATACTTTAATTAAAATATATTTTTTAATTCTAAGAATAATAAAAGAGCACTCAGTTGTTTATTATCTTAGAAAATATAAAATATAAATTTATTATATTACATCTCATTGAAACAATTTTTAATTAATTTTATTCCAATAAATTTTTAAAAATAAAGAATTTACTCTCTTCTAATTTATTTTATTTATTCAATTTTTTAATTTGTTTAATAAAATAACTAATAAAAACTTAAATAACTCTACATATATTACTTAGACATTTTAAGTTATTTCAAATAATTAATAATTTATTTAAGTCTTTCAATGAGCAATTCTTAGCTCTAAGTTTATTTTTGCGTGTGCATCAAACACTTTTTAAAAGAATAAACAAATGAAGCCTACGGATACTCTTAAGAAAGTGTGGTTCTAGAAAATTGAAAATAGTTACTTTTAAAATATAAAGAAAATAAAGAGAGAGTGAAACTCCATTCATTATTATCTTCAGACAAGGAGGATGAAGAATAATAAAGAAAAAATAAAGAAAATTTAAATTAGGCCCACGGTATCTTGAACAGGTAGTAAAAGAACAGCATTCCCAACCAAACCAAATGCTTCCACAAAACTAGTGGTTGGTACCGACTCTACGGCACTGATCTTAGCCATCTAATGAATATTAAAAATGAAAATATAAAAAAAAGCTGGTGTTGCCATAAATAAAGCATAGCTTATAATTTTCTCTTTCCAATTTGGACTAAATGGATACGTTTTAAGTTAAATTTACATCAGAGAGAAACTACATATATAATTTAGGGGAAGTATTTTGCTAAAATGATATACAAACATAATCATTTTCCGCCAGTAATTTAATGTAATTATATATTACAATTTTGAATTTGTTATTAGTGATCAAGTTAAAAAATAGATGATTATGGCTAATGCGTAATAATTGTAAGGCTTTATTAGGTGGACTTACAAAGATAAAAAAAATGCATTGATGTTATGGGAAAAAGGGTACTTTTATTAATAATTTTTTATCTTAAAAAAAAAACAACTTTACGATTATTATTTTTAACATTATTTTGCTTCTATTTCTCTTCAAGAAAATAAGTAATCAGTTATTCTATTTCTCATTTTATTTACTTTTTCTTTATTTAACCTATTTTACCACATAACTACCAATAAAATTATAAATGTAAATAGATCAATTAGCTTGACTTGTCTATTTTTAAAGTGAAATAATTTTGAGTAAAAATAGTAATTATGTTTAATTATATTTTTACATATAATATAATATTGTAAATAGAAAAGAAGAAAAATCAAATTACTCTAATATTGTGTATGGATTGGTGATAGCAATTGGAATGGAATAAATGCGATTGATTAGAATTGAACGAAATTAAGACACTTTTTTATAATTTAAATATTTATAATAAACCGTAACAAAAAATTTGCTCCATTATTTAGAATAAAATAAAATCAGGTTAAAGTAGACGCAAAGATATTAGTAATTTTATTAACTAAAAACTTTGTAAGAAGAAAAAGGGTTAAACAGTGGAATATATCTTCTTATTGTGTTCTACTTCTACTTTTACAAATCAAAAAATAAAATAATTTTGGTTCCTATAGTTTTTGGAAATGTGCAATTTTAATTCTTATAAAATTTTGACTATATATTTAATTTTTTAATTTTTTATAACTAAGTAATTTTAATCTATTATTCATTTATTAATAGAAAATGCTAATGAAATCTTACTATGAAAATTGATATTCTACATTACAATAGTTTAGATTAACAATTTGAATGATATTAATAGCGGATCAAAACTATTCAATTTTAGAAAATTATAAAACTATATGTATAATTAAAATTTTATAAAAATAAAATTGCACACATTTACAAAAACAAAAAAAATTAAAAAAAGTCTAAGAATAATTTAATCTCTTTGAACATGGAGAGAGAAACAACTTTTTTAAAAGATTAAAATACGATTGTTCATTTAATTGAAGAGCAGTTGAATCGTTTGAGGTAAATTGACAACAAGCTGAGCTTGTGGCTGAATTTGTGGAGGAGTTGATTTTGATTTTAGCTTAATACATACGACAAAGTCTCAAACCTACCAATCCATAAAATTGAAGCTTGTTGAAATAGGTTGGATATTGAATCTGAACATGTGAAGGCCTATTCTCATCTCTGATAATGTAATAATAACAACTAGTACTAACTCAATTGGAATTGTTTGATTTTATGAGAAGACTAAAGAGATTGAATGAACCCTATTTTTCTCCTTTTGTACACATGCAGCATGAAGAGAAAGAGAAAGCGCACCTGTGCAAAGAAGTAACGGAGAAGTTGAGCCAACGATTCTCAGAGCGCTGCCATTTGATGATTCGACCATCGGAAACGCCCGTGTAAGGCCCTTCGCCACGAGGATCGAAGGCGAAACTCTCCGGCCCCACGCCGCCTTCAATCGGAACACCTTCATAGTGCCAAAGCTTCACGCCCTCCACCTCTTCCTCCGAGCCGCTGCGCATGTGCGCCATCCAAGTGGTCACCAGAACCGCTGAGACTGCCGCCACGAAGTGCAGAGGAAACCTCATCGTGAATTGGAGAGAGAAAAGAGAAAAGGATGAGTTGAGTTGGGTTGTGTGCCACTGATGGCAATAACGCGCTGCGGATTCTGAACCTATCCGAGGATTTCATATAAAGCAGTATCATTATTAAATTCACAGAGACAATGCACAAATAATTCACCATATTCGTTTTGGATTTAATATGCAGAATAAATTTATTCCATGTAAATTAAATTAAAATAAAAGATAAAAATAAAGACTAATTTTGTTTGAATCACGATTTGTGTTATAGTTTCAAAAAATAGAAATAACATTTGAAAATACGATTTGCTATACATGAAATTGTGTTTTTAAATACCAGTTAATTATTTATGTAATTTTTTTAAAATATATCTAAATCAGTAATTTAAATATATATATATATATATATATATATATATATATATATATATATATATATTATAGGATTTTTGCCATGGCTAGATTAGTAGGCTGAGTAATAAGGGTATAAGATTTCTAAATATTAAGAATGGAAAACAAAGAACCTAAAAGTTTTTGTTAAATGGGTTGGCCAATAATCAATACAATATAATAAAAATATACATTTATTTGTTTTAAAATATTTATTATAATTATTTTCACTACAATTTATATAATTCCTAACTACGATTTTAATTAGAGTGACGTAGTTTTTATTTAGTGGATTTTTTTTTTAATTTAAAAAAAAAGGTTAGAACATGGTTTGACTAAGATTTGCTGTTTATATATAATGTGATGGCACGAGTCACCTTCGATAGATTCTATATTTCATGTAACTTTGCTTGCAAGGAAAGTTATTGGAAAGCAAAAATACTTCGAAATTTGGTCATGGTATTAATCATACGAAATTGACTAACAATTTGTAATTGAATCAAATTAACTAACACAAATTTAATTTATTTATTTTTTTTACTTTTAATCAAAATCAAATTATATATCATTAATTAGATTCCAGTATTTATCTTTTTACAATATCAACTAATTTCGTAACTTTGATAACTAAAAAAATAGTTTGAGTTGGTAGTATACAAAGTTTTTACACGATCATTCAATAACATAACATGAGATAAACGGATTAAAGTTTGAATATGACTTTTTATTGATTGAGATTAGGCATGCCAAGGGTACGGGACGGATTTTTGCCCCTTTAACTTTTTTTAATCGTTTTGTCTTTGATTTTTATCAGATTATAAAATAAATTTTCATTATTGTTTCCGCTAACTTTTAGGCTTTTTATTCCGTCTCATCAGTTTCATATTTATATTATTCTTAAAATATAAATATATTTATAATAAATTAATTTTAATATTTTTATGTATTTTTAATTAATAAATATTTATAATTTATAATTATTATTCATTAAATATATTTTTTATTTATTATATTAAGGTTAAAATATATACATAAAAATATTTAATCATTTTTCTTTATACATATATAAAATACTTATTATTATTATTATTTTGTATTCAAATATTTGATTATATATATAAATTTATTTATTTTTTAAGTGATAATTTAAAAATATAAAATATATAATTTATGATAAAATATTTAATAAGTTACTTTTTATTTAATTAATTTAACATAATAAAAATTTAAATTATCAATTATTTTTTATTTTCTAAAATATAATTATTTTATTAAAATAAAATTTGATATATAATAAATAAGAATAATAAAATAAAAAATATGACTTAATAAAACTTAATAAAGATAAATTGTAAATAAAATAATATTAGTTATTACTAAGATTTATGTAAAATATTTAGAAAAGATAAAAAAAAAAATTTGTGTTTATCAAATTGGTTGAAAAATTTGAAAAAAACAAATTAACTAGAGATATTAAGGAAATATGAATAGTGAAAGGTGAGAGAAAGAGAATAATGTAATGAACTAATTGATAAAAATATATATATATATATATATATATATATATATAATTAAAAAGCGGATAGAAAAAAATAAAAATGATAAAATATAAAAAAATGACTTTATATATAATGGAAAAAAATAAAAAAATATATTTATATAATATTAATATTTTAAAAATTAAATTTAAATATAAAATTGGAGTGAAAATGAAGATAAGGTTGGGGTGGGGATTGCAATACTTCTCTCTGTCCCATCCAGACTTTTTAAAGGAAGAAAAACCCGAAATCTTCCCTCACTCCAAGTCAACTTGATTTTTCTCTATCAAATTCGGGTTATCGAGTTTTTTCTTACTTATAAATTATTTAATTTTCTCATCTTTATTCAACGTTGGATTTTAAACTCATACTTAAATTTTTAACATATTAATATGTTTTTATAATTAAATAATTAAAATTTCTTCCGTTTTGCCTGTTTTGTCACTCATTTTTTATGTTTTTATAATCTTATATATTAAAGTTTCTTAATGTCGTTATTATATATATTTTTCTAAGAAAATAATGAGTTATGTAAAATGAAGATATATTTTTTCTTGTATGAATTAAAAATAAATATTTGTTTCAATCAGTATAATATTGTTTTGTATAGAATGTTACCTTATGTAAAAATTGAGTAGGTTATTATAAAATTTATTTATCAAGCATTACTAATAACAATTGTATTTATATAAAAAAAATACAAGCTAGAAAAAAATAAGAAGCTAAATTGAATGAAGTTTGACACACAAATTAAAATTAGTTTTTGAATAAAATTAATTTAAAATTTGTATCTTGAACAAACATATAAAATAACTTATAAAGCAAATTCATGTTTTTAAAAAAGATTAGTAAAATAAACAATTTTATTATAATCAAACTAGTTTATAAACTTTAAGGTAAGTGGTTAAATACATGTTATATAAGAAATTTACAATATTCTTATCAACTAATAAATTTAAAGTTAATAGATTAATTAAAATGGCATAACTAAAATAGTAGAGGCAAATTTCTCTTAAAAAAGGAAATTAAATCTACAAAAATGGTGATAATAAAAAAATACAAATTATAATTAAGTGTTTTTAAGTTTCATTATTAGCCTCTTCTATGATTAAGTCTTGCTGTGTACCTGGATTTAAGAGAATAAATAGCGAAATAATTGTGTTTGTGAAGTGGTGTTAACAATGAAACAGGATTCCGTTGGTGTTGTTAGTGGTCATGTTTGATAAGATTTTTAACTAACACAAATTAATATTTTGGCCTACATGTGTTCACAATACATTCGGCTTGGACCCATCCAACCCTCCTTATCATCACATTATATTTATCACTCCTTGTTACTTAACATTCAAATTTTAATTATTTTAAAAACATTATTCTAACATTTTCTTATAAGAAATTGACCCCTTAAATCTGTTAAATATATAACAATCGCTTAAGTTTTTATAAAAGTTTATTTAATTAAAAAAAAGACCTTATATCATTCTAAATGTCTTTTCGGATCCAGTAAACAATATTTATAAACATATTTAATTAAATATAAATATTGTTTATTATTATTATATTGAAATTATTAATAATATATGAAAACTGTGCTTTATTAACTATTAACAAAATTATATTTATTTACAAATTTTATTAGAAAATAATATTTACATAAACAATCCATTATATTATATTATACTTACATAATCATATATAATGCATGCATAATATATAAATTATATAATGATGTAGAAAAATTGCAGTTACTAGTTTAATTATTTAGAACAATAATACAATAAAACTACTATATTTTTAATGGCTATAAATAAGGCATATTAAGCATTAGAAAATTATACATACCCTAATTAAAAAAACCCCGCAACACCTAAACATATTAAATTCAAACTTTATTTCTTTTAACAAAGGTACTTTAGTCTATCAAAATTAGGTATTAGACAATTAGTTAAAAAAAGAAGTAAAAAACGAGTTAGACAAAATTAAAAAAAAAATTGAATTAATTTGAATATTTTTCATTTGATCCTATTTATAAAATAAAAAAAATATTTTTAAATAAAAGTAATATTATTTTATTAATATATATATATATATATGTTTATGATTTATATATTAAATTATTATATTTAAAATTAAAATCAATTTCATTAATACAATTAAAATTTTAAAAATACATTTGCATTTAAAATTATTTTCTTAAAAGCGGGATAAAATTGTTTTTGACTCGACATAAGATCTAATCAGATCTAAAACATAAAACCTATTTAAAACAGGGACCCAATACATTATTTTAGGCCAGATTAGACATATCTTGTGAAAAAAAAGTATATGATTTAGCCTAATTTTACTCCTAATTAATAAAGAGGGGAATGTAAGTGTCAAGAAAACTATTCATCTAATTTTGTAATGATCATAAAAATTGCTATTATAATGATAATTTTACAAATAGTAAATAAGTAAATAACAATATCTATATTATATTATATTACTATAAAAATATAGACTGAAATCTTGGTTCAATGGCGGAACCTTAGAACATAGTAACATAATTTATTTATACATATGCATGCAAAAGTAGCTCCTACAAAATTATCCCACTGAACTATCTCTGTTGTCCAGTAGTCGCATCTCCACCTCTCAACTCTTTATCTGCTCCCACATAAAAGTGATCACGCAGTCTCATCCACATGGAAAAATAAGGGTAAGTATTAAATCATACGATATAATAAAACAGATATAGAAGTAATAATTACATATTATCATCAATTACAAATCATCAATATACTAAGACGCCTTCCGGAAGTCTACCCTAACTATGCCCGAACTCAGAGGCTATCATTTGTGGGCACATTGTGATCGGCATCCGAAGTACCATTCTGACCACCCTCCACACAGAGTAAGATTACTGACGCCCTTCATCACTCATACTGGAGTACCCCTCCGAGCACGCCACCAATCATCCCTCATCGACTCTCTCACCACCTGATCTCGTAGTCAACCTGACCCGACCATTCAGTGAAGTCTGGGACCTCATTCATAATCCTCCGACATAGTTATTACACTAATGTACTCTGTACCACT